TCTACCAGAAAAGCGCTGTCATTTGAGAATTGCGCTCGTATTCCTCTATCGAGTGGCCTTATACTGGAAGGCACTGGACTCTTGCTTCATCTGCCGCGATTAAGACGCGGTTGAAAACTTGGCTTCCAAAATCTCTCAGTGTCGGTCCCATGTAATCTGATCATACTCATCTTTCATCCTCATACGCTAGTAGTCGTTCTACCAATCCTTGGAGTTGTCCCACGACTACAGCCTGTTCCCGTTCGACGGGTGGGTTCGGAGCTCTGTGGAACAGCACTCTGTATAGCCACTAACTTTTTGAAGAGAACAGTATAGCCAATTAAGAAATAGCTATACCATACTTGAAATGTTTGATGAAACCGAAAACACCTAGTTTGGCTAGAGTTCCGGTGTACTTAAATCTTCTGAGTTCTGGCTAGAGTTTGACTTAGTATAGAGTTCTGATTCAACTGGAGTTTTGACTTAGGCCAGAGTCCTTGGACTCAATTGTTCTAGAGTTCTGTCTAGAATTCTTTGTCTTAGCTCTACTTTCTAGAGTTCTCTCCCTAGAGTTCTCGGTCTTATAGAAGGATAGTTATCTAGGCCCCATACTTGAACTTGAATAAGCACTTGCAAAACTTAAAACTTGGCTTAGGTGACTTACCTCGGAGTCAGTGCGGAGTGAGCGTGGCGTGGTCATGCTTTTCTTAAACTTTTTAAAGTATCCAGAACGTTATCTGCGCTCTGATACCAATGTTGTAACACCCCGCCTTACTTAGCTTTGAAAATCAGAGTAAACTTTTTGTTTTAATATTTGAAAGGTTGTGCGAGCTGGTTTTCAAAAATACTAACTTGTTGTGGGATGCTAAAAATAAAAACTTGCTTATCTTACTCATGCATACATAATAAATCATGCAACCAAATCGATCCGCTACGGAGACAATGGAATCATACATGCAATGTCTGACTGTCTCGCACTGTCTAGTCTAGGGGATGCTGAACTGAATAATACATAATACATGCATACATATCTGAATAATACATGTTCATAAAATCTAGGACATAAAATGTGCGTAAAAATGTCCTCGACTCATGACCACGCTTGCCACGAATGCTCACCCGGCGCGCTGGACCCCATCACCTGAAAAACACAATGGGGGCGTGAGCAAACCACTATGCTCCGCAAAGACCAATACTGAATAAGATAGCATCAATAATAACATATCATGACTAAAATATATAAGAGCTTAAACAGAAAACTTGTTCTTATATCTGTGGTCTCAAAGACCCTTATCGGCCCTTATTTCGGCCGCTCGTGTGCACACCACCCTGACGCTGAAGGCCTTGGCCTTAGCCGGGTACCAGGTGGAATAGGAAGGCCCTTGATTCGGCCTCTCACCTTGGAGATCATACTATCTTGAACATACCTCAGACATGGTAAAGAAATTATTGACGATGTGGAATCCAGTACATGACCCCCACCTGGTATACTGAAAATATCTTTTGCAAGTGTTGAAATGCTGGGGTAGCTGTCGGAGGCTCGACTCTCCTTAAGCTACCAAAATTAATGAGAAAATGTATCTAAGAAATTTGCTCGACCTATAAAAACCAATACTGAAACTTAGACAGTCAAGCAGGCAAAGCAGATATAGCGTGAAAATCACACAAGGCACATAGATGCATATGAACACTTAAAATTGGAATGGATTTTCTCAGCTCGACTGGACTGTCTTAGGGGTACCCGAAGAAATTCTCACTTAGTCTCTGAAACCCACTTTTTATGAATTTTCTATACTGTCTCGCACCGGCCGATCCTTACTGGCCATCCGACAACTTTTCCGGTGACAACAAACATATACCAACATAACATGATATAAAAGGCTCAAATATGCAAAGAAGCACTAGGAGACCTCGGGTTAATACGAACATGGTTCGATAGGGACGATATGGCATGTACGAACCCTAAGTCACCGGAACAACTTCTCAAACATAAGCATATGACTAAGGTCGAATACTTTCCAACATAAATCATGATTTTTAAAGCTAACATGATGGCATATAATCACATGCATAATAAAAGGCCTCGGGGGTGAAAAATCGCATAAAATCATGAACTAGATGACAGGGTAAACAAACTCCAAACGTGCTCAACTTTTTACCTCATCATAGACATGATTTATAAAGAATATTAAGCTAGAAAACTCGGCCTAAACATGCATGCTACAAAAAATTTGAATTTAAGCTTCATATATTCAAAAATTCGAAACTAAGGCTTAGACATGTACATGCATGGATTCAAAGAATTTTATAAAATCGTATACTCATTCTTTGAAGCTAAAACTTGGTGAAATTACTCATAACTCATGCAAGAATTTCTCATGAAAATTTCACGTAAAACGCGCATGTAGTTAGGGAGTTCTCTGGCCACGAAATTCATCTTGACATGCATTCGATCTAATACTTATAACTCACTCATTTCTTAGGATAAAATCATGAACTTTGGTATGCAGGCTCTCATGTATAAACATCTCCATACAATTTTATAATTTCATCCTGAGTATATCTCGCGTTATTCGTGTTTGAATTCACAACAGAATTCGCGCATATAAAGTTCAATTTGAATGTCTAATTTTAAAAATCAATAACTCGAGTTATACTAGGCTAACTGACTTGATTCTTGATCCTATGAACTCCTCGTTTCCACAAGAAATATTCATTAATTTTCAAGTTCCCAGATTTTTCATAGCATAGGCAAAAACGTATGAAAACTCCACATAAAGAACATGCAAGAAAACTGGGAGCACTTAAACATTTAGCATGCTTGAAACCACTTAAAAATTGAACCTATGGGGCATCAAAACACATAATTCTAATCCTCATATCATAAATAACCAGTCATAAAAATGAAATAGCAAACCAACCTCTAAAACTTCACGAAATATGCAAAAGAATTCGGTATGCTCGGTTGTCTTGCGTTCTTGTGAAACTGCGGTCTTGTAGCTTGAAACCTTGAACTTTCATGAACTTTGCTGCTCTTAAACTCTTATAAGGTGAGTAAGGAGTGAAGGTGATGGCATGCTTTTTCTATGAGGTAGGAGTGAGTAGAACTCGAAACCACTCAAACATTCACTTGGTGCCAAGGTGTTAGCTCTTAGTTTTTCACTCTCGGCCTTTGTGTTATGGGAGGAGAGCTTGCTGAGATTTTTGCTAAGTATTAGAATGTTGGATGGCTGAGTAAATGGGAGTGAAGAAGGCTGTGTGATATGCTTAAGTAGCCCCCTGAAAGTGGGTGCAAACTCTTAGGAGAAATGGTGGGAGACAAAGGAAAAGTGGAGCACTCCCTCCTTCCATGCGCATGTGGACTTTTGAGGAGTTGAGTGCTGAGCTTAAAGGGGTGCTAATGGGCTCTGGTTTAAGCATTAAGAGGGTTGAGCAACTTCTGGTCAATGCACTATGTAGTGGAGGGAACAAGACTCTTACACACAACATATTATATTCCATGCCCATGCCACTTAATTAGACATACAGAATTTGCTAATCTAGATCTAACCTTACTAACACTTAATTATCCTACTTAGGAAAAAAAGTTTACTAAACTCAGCGCCTATACACGCATGCGAGAAGAGATTGGATATAAATAGATCATGGTCTTACACCATGTGTTAGAATAAGTAGCATGCCCATGATGCTTAACTATAAAATAAGGCTAAAAAAAGTTGACTTTGTCTAATGAAACTTAAGCTCAATTTAGGATTAGATAATCTATAATAACCTCTCAAAACTCGCATGGCATAAGACATGGAAAAGGAAATGGATTTAGGTGAGCCTTGGCTAAAGTCCCAGTACTAGGGCTCGGGTGCGGCTAGTGCACGGCGCGAGACTTAAATGATTCGACTCGAGCGGATTATTCCGAACATTATAGTTGAATAATCAAACACACTTAAATAATAACCGAGCACTTAAACACATAAGGTCACATAAATCATGTAATAATCTTAAATCAAACAACTCGAAAATCTGAAAAATTATCGGTTTCACTTTATAGTCGAGCAAGTGAAACGTTCTGATATATTAGCTGATCGGGGCGTTACTGCCGGCCCGAGCCCGAACCCGGTCCTTGACCTCTTTTGAAACGTTTTCCGATTTTTCTGAACCTCTTGTGTAACGCCCCATTTTATTTTAAAAGATTTACCAAATTTCTTTATAAAAATCAGAGTTAATTTTTTGCAAAATCCCAATTAAAACTTTAATATTTGACGGGCGCTACTTAACTACCGACAACAAATAAACTATTATTAACTAATAAATAGAACCTATACATGCATAACTCTCAGTTCTAAAAATAAACCACATTATTCATAAGTCATAAAACCAACCAGATAGCTCCACATGATTCAACGGTTCCTCTAACATGTTCATAAAATCAAAGCGGAAGCATAATCATCCAAAACAAAAACAAGTATTTCAACAAAATAATAATAACAGAAGAAAGGACACATTATTCCAATGACCACCACTCGATCGTCTCTCGCCACCGCCGCCAACCATGCTCAACCTAAAGATCGAAAGAGGAACAAGAGGACAGAAAAACAATGGGGGTGAGTATCACCATCATACTCACTATTATCGCACAGTATATCTCGCATAAAGATTCACAACCATAATTAATGTATGCATAGAATCCAGATCTAACTCCCTATTAGGCCCTATCACAAACCTCCTATGTACATACAACAAACCTCCCGACCAGACATCGGCGAAGATGTAACTGGAAGCATTCCTACCCCGGATGCAGCGGGCATGGGGCGTCCCTCCCGAATGCAACGGGCATGAGACCTCTCACTGATTATGCATTCGTCAAAGGCACTACCGTCGGGACACTTGGACTAGGGTTCTCACGCATACAAAAGCTATCAAGACAAACATTCATACGAAATAACAAGTGCGATAAATAGGCAATAATGTCATAAAGATTGACCTTCACTCCTGTTAATTGTCATGACATAAGTAATAAAGCTTGCATGGTCAACATAGTCAATATTGGTTCATCACAAGTGCCACCTCAGCCTTTATGCTCCACGAGTGCAGCTCATGCAAAGGCCATGCATGTTCATGTCATGACAAATGACAGCAACCATCCTAGTACAAGTTGTTATAGAGTTTTGTCTATTCCTAGCCATGTGTCACCAATCTAGAACCTATGTTTTAGATGAATGGTAGAGATCATATTGATTGGTTCTATATATATAGTAAGCAGATGCACTGTAGCCGATATTGAGCAGAATTTGTAAACCCTAAACTAGTGAAAAGAAAGCTATCATTTTTTGTTCAAGCTTTGTTGATCTTTTGCTTTCTTAGCAATGAATATCAGTTTTTACTTTTATGGTATCAGAGCTGGTTAGCCAAACCAGCTTCTGATTTTTTCTCTTTTCGTTTTCTTTTATTTCTTTGAACTCCATATCTTAAAATGGCAACACAGATCTCAGATCCCATAATCCAACCACAAAGTCAGCTCATAAGTATAAAGCTCTCTGATTCTAATTATCTCATATGGAAGCAGCAAGTGTTGGCAGCAGCTAGAGGCCATGGACTCGAAGGATATCTCAATGGAAACAACAAAATCCCAGACGATCATATCACAGATCCAGATGCGGACACACCAAGGCCAAATCCAGCACACATCCTTTGGGTCAAGCAAGATCAACTCCTTGCTTCATGGTTGCTCTCATCCCTCACAGAATCCTTGCTCATTACCACTGTTGGCCTTACAACATCCAGAGAAATATGGAAAGCTCTAGAGACAGCTTTCTCAAGTCAAAATGCTGCCAAGGTAATGCAATATAAGTTGAAGCTGCAAACCACCAAGAAGGGGACTGGATCTATGAAGGATTACCTCAACAATATCAAGTCCTATTGTGACTTGATCTCAGCTGTAGGACAGAGGGTTAGTGAAGAGGACCAGATCTCACATATCCTAGCAGGCCTAGGAGGTGAGTACAACCCAGCCATTGTCTCTATCCTCTCCAGATCTGAGCCTTGCAAGCTAAGGGAGGTCCACTCTCTTCTCCTAAGCTTTGAAAACAGGCTTGATGTGACAGAATCCAACTATTTGGAAGAAAATGGTCAATTTTCTGTCAACTACACCACTCAAAACAGAAGAGGTGGTTTCAAGAGAGGAGGAGGCTCTTTTCAGTTCACCAGAGGAGGCAACAACAACCAAAATGGCAGATTTGGTAGAGGAGGACCATTTAGAGGAAGAGGAGGCAGAAACAACAGCAGGCCAAGGTGCCAAATTTGCCACTACAACAATCACACTGCTGACAAATGCTACTACAGATGTGACCTCAACTTCACTCCAAAACAAAACTCCAACTCCAACTATCAAGGGCAATCTGGTGGAAATCAATTCTCAGGAGGAACCTCGGTGAACTTAACTGATGTGAGCTCTTCAGTGGGAACTCAACCTGACATGTGGTTCCCAGATTCTGGTGCCACAAATCATGTGACACATGATTTAGCAAATCTGAACCTTGCCACAGAATACACTGGAGAAGAAAAGATTCAACTTGGAAATGGTGCAGGTATGAACATTTCTCATTATGGCGAGTTCATAGCTGTGTCCAATAAGAACCAAAAATTTCTCTTAAAAAGCCTTTTACATGTGCCAAATATCACAAAAAATCTCATTAGTGTTTCTCCGTTTGCCTAAGACAACAATGCCTTCTTTGAATTTCATCCTTCACTTTGTCTTGTTAAGGATCAAGCTACAAGGGAAGTGCTTCTCAAGGGGGCAGCTAGAGATGGACTCTACAACTTTTATCTCCAAACCAACACCACTGAACCTAAGAACAATATCTCTCAACCACTGAACAAGAACCCCACTCTCCTTTCTGCTGAAGTGAAAAATAAATCTAGTCTAGGTGTTTGGCACACTAGATTTGGTCATGCTAGTTTTGATATTGTAAGGAAGGTTTTAAGAGATTGTAATATCCCTTTTCATGATAATGAGAATGACAGCCTTTTTTCTGCTTGCATGAAGTCCAAAATGCACAAATTACCTTTTTCTGCTTCTGATGTTAAAGATTATTCACCCATTGAGTTCATACACTCGGACCTTTGGGGGCCAGCTCCTGTTAAGTCCTTTCAGGGGTTCACTTATTATGTATCATTCATAGATTACACAAGTAGAAACACTTGGGTATATCTTCTCAAACAAAAATCAGAAACCTTTGATGCTTTTGTTCATTTCAAAAACTTTGTTGAGAATCAGTATTCTAAGAAGATAAAGGTGTTTCAAAGTGATGGAGGTGGTGAATTCATGAAACTAGCAAAATAACTTTCCGAAAATGGGATCAAACACCAGATATCTTGTCCTTATACCCAGAGCAAAATGGGTTGGCAGAAAGAAAGCATAGACACTTGATGTAGGTTGCATTATCCCTTTTAGTACAATCTAATCTTCCTTCATGTCATTGGGATGATGCAGTCTGTAGTGCTGCTTTTATAATAAATAGAACCCCTAGCAAAGTCTTAAAAACCTTGAAACACCCTATGAGATTTTAAATGAGAAAAAGCCAGATTACACCTTCCTCAAATCCTTTGGTTGTCTTTGCTATCCCTTAATGAAGCCTTACAACAAACACAAGCTTGAGTACAAAAGCCAACCTGGAGTATTTCTTGGCTATAGCAGTAAGCACAAAGGATATAAGGTTATGCTTGAGAGCAAAAAGGTGATTCTTACTAGGCATGTTTTGTTTGATGAGACACAATTCCCCTACAGAAACAAGGAAAACAGCATAAAGTCCAATGACACTCACACTGACCTTTCACCCTTATGTGTCATCAATCCACAAGAAAACCAGTCACCCTTTACACCTGGTTCTCCCACTCAAAATAATACTCCTTTCATTTCACCTACTACTTCCCCAAGCAGTTCTTCATCTTCTCAACCAAGCACACCAAACTTAGATGGACACATTTATGTTAACTTGCCATTAGAGAATGTTGCCTCACCAGATAATGTTACTAATGTGTCTTATGAGCCTCCAAACATAAATGCAGGTGGTCACTCCATGGTTACAAGAGCAAAGGCAGGGATTTACAAGCCCAAAGCTTACCTGACTGAGAGCTTGAATGAAAGGGAACCAAGGACTACAGATGAAGCCTTGTCCAATCCTAACTGGAGAGCTGCAATGGAAAAGGAGTATGAAGCCTTGCAAAGAAACAAAACATGGAATTTAACCGCATTGCCAGCAGATAAATCCCTCATTGGAAGTAAATGGGTATACAAGATCAAACACAACTCAGATGGGACAATTGCTAAGTACAAGGCAAGGTTGGTAGCCAAGGGCTACACTCAATATCCAGGCTTTGACTATGGTGAGACTTTTAGCCCTGTGGCTAAGTTGGCAACTATCAGAACAGTTCTATCTATTACTCTTGCTTCAAACTGGTACATGAAGAAAATTGATATTGATAATGCTTTCCTTCATGGAAGCCTAGACACTGATCTTTACATGGAGCAGCCTATTGGTTTTCTTGTCCCAGGAAAAGAACACCTTGTTTGCAAGCTGAATAGATCTATTTATGGCTTAAAGCAAGCCTCAAGGGCTTGGTTTAATAAGCTTGGTTCATACTTGCACTCATTGAACTTCAAGAACTGCCAGGCTGATAATTCCCTCTACTACAGACATGCAAATGGAAAGAGTATTCTTATCTTGGTCTATGTAGATGACATGGTGATAACTGACAGTGACTCAAATGAGGTCTCAAACCTAATCAAGCAGCTTGGTAAGGAATTCTCTTTGAAGGATCTGGGAGGTTTGCATTACTTCCTTGGAATAGAGATCATGAAAACAAATTCAGGACTCTTTTTGAATCAAAGAAAGTACATTGTTGATCTTCTTACCAGAGTTGGAATGTTGGATGCAAAGGGATTATCTTCTCCTATGGTCAGCACACCATTGCTTTCCAAGTTCAGTGGATAACCAATGAATGATCCAAGACTTTTCAGGTCAGTAGTTGGTGCACTTCAATATGCAACCATAACAAGACCAGAGTTGTCCTACAATGTGAATAAGGTGTCTCAGTTCATGCCAACTCCATTAGATTCTCACTGGAAAGCAGTTAAGAGGATCCTCAGATATTTGGCAGGAACATTAGATTATGGGATGCACTTTTACACTCCTAAAAACATACAGATATCTTCCTTTGCTGATGCTGACTGGGGGTCTGACTTAGATGATAGGAGATCCACAAGTGGATTTTGCATATTCTTGGGTCCAAATCTCATTTCATGGAGTTCAAAGAAACAGCATATTATTTCGAGATCGAGTACAGAAGCAGAGTATAGATCTTTAGCCCATGCTACTTGTGATGTGGTTTGGCTGCAATCATTATTGTCAAAACTCAAAATTTCATCGCCACAAACAGCTACTATATGGATGGATAATCAAGGTGCAGTTAGCCTAGCACAAAATCCAGTTTTTCATTCAAGGACCAAGCACTTTGAAATTGATCTTCACTTTATAAGGGAGAAGGTGGCTTCTAAACAGAACTCAGTAAGGCACATCCCAGCCTTAGATCAAATAGCAGACTTGTTCACTAAGCTTATCACAGGACAGCTCTTCTCAAGATTTAGAAACAAGTTGTTTGTCTTGCCTAGAACCTTGCTCGAGCTGAGAGGAGGTAATAAAGCTTGCATGGTCAACACAGTCAATATTGGTTCATCACAAGTGCCACCTCAGCCTTTATGCTCCACGAGTGCAGCTCATGCAAAGGCCATGCATGCTCATGTCATGACAAATGACAGCAAACATCCTAGTACAAGTTGTTATAGAGTTTTGTCTATTCCTAGCCATGTGTCACCAATCTAGAACCTATGTTTTTTATGAATGGTAGAGATCATATTGATTGGTTATATATATATAGTAAGCAGATGCACTGTAGCCGATATTGAGCAGAATTTGTAAACCCTAAACTAGTGAAAAGAAAGCTATCATTTTTTGTTCAAGCTTTGTTGATCTTTTGCTTTCTTAGCAATGAATATCAATTTTTCCTTTTAATAAGGAACCATTAGAAAAACTGCTTCATCATTATAATATAAAATAGGATTAATTGCTATTTAAACCTTGACCTTTCAGCTTTTGGCAATTTAATCCAAATTTTTGGATAATTGCAATATAATCTTGACCTTGTCGTACTTTTGGAAAATGAACCTCAAATTCGTCGGACGTTCAAAAAGTGCCACCGTGTCCGGCTGGTTATATCCAAGTTGGACTATCAATTTGCTGAGTGACAACTTTTTATGACTGAAAACTTATGTGGCGATGACATGGCTCATATGTGTAATTAACAAGTTAGGAAAAAAAATAAAAAATCCACCTCAGAATTTTGAAATGGGCCCCAAATTAAACCAATCAACAAATTAGAGCTTATAAAAATGTGCCTTTGATTAAATGACACACTTATCCTAATCATCAATTTAATAAAATAAAATATAACAAAATATTACAAAAAGGCAAAAAAAAATATAAATCTCCACCTCCTAGAACCTATCGGCAGTCCATTTCACCTTCCCCGGCCAAAATCTCCTCATAGCCTGAGCCGCCAGAGTGGAAGATGTCGGTGCGACCCTCATCACTAACAGCACCGCCGAGCATTCTTCTCCAGCCCTATCCCCTTTCCGTCTGGATTGCTTCTTCTTGACCGAATTCGTGTTATCGGTCTGGTCTTCCCAGATCGAAGCGTGCTCCCCAGCCACGATATGGCCTTGGTCGTCGTCCCTTCCGCCTGGATCTGGAGAGCCTCCGCGGCAGGGCACCTTGTCCGAACGAGCACCACCATAAATCTAAATCGAAAAATCACCTCCTTGTCGTGGATCTCGTCGTGCTCTGGAATCTAGATTTTAGCGACCCCAATTACAACCACGTTGGCGTGGATATGAACTCTGCCAAATTGGCAGCCGTCGCCACTGTTGGGTACTGAAAGGAGGCGGCCGGAGGGAGGATTTCGTGTGGGTGATGATGAATCAGGGAGAGGTTTAGGGTTTGGATAGATTACCCACATTTGGTAATATTTTCCGCAAGAAAAGAAGAGTGTTGGCTCGCTTGGGGGGAATCCAAAGAGCCAAGGAAAATGACTCAGAGTTTGGATAATCTGGAAAAAAGATAGTAACAAGAGGCTTACATGATTTGGGAATTTTGGGATTACTTCATCTTTTTCATTTTTGAAAATGTTGTTTTTTTTTAACAATTCCACGTATTTAATGTAGTCACACTCAGTAAACTGCAAGTTCCACGTAGGTATACCTAGCCGGACACGCTGTCATTTTTCGAACGTCCGACGAATTTAAGGTTCGTTTTGCAAAAGTACGACAATGTCAAGATTATATTGCAATTATCTAAAAGTTTGGATTAAATTGCCAAAAGCTGAAAGGTCAAGGTTTAAATAGCAATTAACCCTATAAAATATCTACATAATTGTTCTATTATGCCTCAAATTTGCGTTCAATAACTCGAACAGAACCAAGCTTCATGCATGAGTATTTTTTCTTAATGTATTCTCAGTCGCACGCCATGTTGTGAAAATATTTATTTTTAATATTTGACTTTGTGAGTTGCAAGTGAGTAATTCTCAACTGTCTTGAATCAATTTATAAGGCCATTGAATCACGAAAGGTAACTCAAATTAAAACCAATTTGGATGAATTACATTCAGGGTGCAAGATGTGTGATAAATATGTGATATAAGCAATATATGGGAATTTATATTTATTATAATGCAGTTCAATTGGACAAAATATACTCAAAATTAAGTTATAGTTATTGCTTAGTCAGATATTAAAAATCAATTTATCAATCAGAACGTGTTAGATAATTTATTTCCAAAAATACGTTACGTTAATNAAAACTTGAAATCAACTTATTAACGCAAATTTTGTTTACCTTAAAAAATTGAATTCAAATGGAATAGCATAGTATTCAAAAATTTCATCAAGTTGGCCACTAAATTGTGAAGTGGTGGTATTTATTAAAATTAACCTCCCAGAACGATTAGAACTGAACTTTGATTTGAAAAATATCTTGTATTGAAACTTGAAATGCAAATACATCATGAACAGTAACTCAATTCAAAGTCTAATTTAGATGAATTATTTACGGATGCAAGACGTATGATAAACGTGTGATATAAGATAAGCAAATATATGGAATATATTAATGGAAGAATATATACACTCTGGTTTAATTTATACTAGTATAATACCAGTGTATTACACGGGTGTTGAATTAGGAAGCTTTTGTAATTTTTTTTACCTTTTTTAAAAACTAAAATAATTTAATTTTATATAAAACATTACTTTGAGTTTTAATTAAATTGTCAAATTATATTTTTTAATCATAATAATTAAACACCCGTACATTAATTGAAAATGTCAACCCGTGTTGAATTTTTTACTTATATCATATAAAAATATCGAAATTATTTACTATTACATAAGTATAAAAATATATATCTTAAATAAATAGAAATAATATGGTGATATGTACGTATATGCATAAGTGTAGAATATTTATTTAATATTAAAATAAAAAAATTAATTTTCTTACTTAATTAGATGCCTAATACATCAACTGTCATATCAGTCGTTCTTCACAGTTTTTTAACTTTATATGTAATTTTAGAATTTATATAAATAATTATTTATCATGAACAGTAACTCAATTCAAAGTCTAATTTAGATGAATTATTTACGGATGCAAGACGTATGATAAACGTGTTATATAAGATAAGCAAATATATGGAATATATTAATGGAAGAATATATACAATTTGATTTAATTTATACTAGTACAATACCCGTGTATTACACTGGTGTTGAATTAGGAAGCTTTTATAATTTTTTTTACCTTTTTTAAAAACTAAAATAATTTAATTTTATATAAAACATTACTTTGAGTTTTAATTAAATTGTCAAATTGTATTTTTTAATCATAATAATTAAACACCCGTACATTAATTGAAAATGTCAACCCGTGTTGAATTTTTTATTTATATCATATAAAAATATCGAAATTATTTACTATTACATAAGTACAAAAATATATATCTTAAATAAATAGAAATAATATGGTGATATGTACGTATATGCATAAGTGTAGAATATTTATTTAATATTAAAATAAAAAAATTATTTTTTTTACTTAATTAGATGTCTAATACATCAACTGTCATATCAGTCGTGCTTCACAGTTTTTTAACTTTATATGTAATTTTAGAATTTATATAAATAATTATTTATAATGAACAGTAACTCAATTCAAAGTCTAATTTAGATGAATTATTTACGGATGCAAGACGTATGATAAACGTGTGATATAAGATAAGCAAATATGTGGAATATATTAATGGAAGAATATATACACTCTGGTTTAATTTATACTAGTACAATACACGTGTATTACACGGGTGTTGAATTAGGAAGCTTTTGTAATTTTTTTTACCTTTTTTAAAAACTAAAATAATTTAATTTTATATAAAACATTACTTTGAGTTTTAATTAAATTGTCAAATTGTATTTTTTAATCATAATAATTAAACACCCGTACATTAATTGAAAATGTCAACCCGTGTTGAATTTTTTTCCTATATCATATAAAAATATCAAAATTATTTACTATTACATAAGTACAAAAATATATATCTTAAATAAATAGAAATAATATGGTGATATGTACGTATATGCATAAGTGTAGAATATTTATTTAATATTAAAATAAAGAAATTATTTTTTTTATTTAATTAAATGCCTAATACATCAATTGTCATATCAGTCGTGCTTCACAGTTTTTTAACTTTATATGTAATTTTAGAATTTATATAAATAATTATTTATTTTTATTACATTGACAACATACCAATTAGATTTGAAATAAATATCATTCTTAAAAAAAAAATACATACCAATTTCTATAACTTTATAATACAATTTATAATTTTATTTGATATAATTTAATTTAGTTTGATAAATAAATTTAAATTTTATTTATAAGGATATATAATACTGTTTTGTATTATATATATATATATATAAATAAATAGCAAAATACAAACAGATATAATTTATTTATTTTATATATACAATATAAATGTCAAATCGAAGCTCATCAAAAGATGATTAATTTGATATATTATATATGTAAAAAGCGATAAATAAATAGAGGGGATGGATTGTTTATGAGATACTATAAATAAAGTCACCAAGCTTTGGACAAAAAGTTTATTCGAAAATATTGATGTACTATTAATTAAAAAAATATGTGATCTAGAAAAAAAATCCTATAGTGCGGATTTTATAATAATTGAATTTGCTCTGATTTCGATAAATATTTTGTAATATGTGGATTTAAAATTTTCCCGAAATTATTGAGTGCATTTAAATTATAAAATATTTTAAATACAAAGATTTGTAAAATATGTGAAATATATGGAATAATTCTAAAAATCATGAGAAGATCTTATAATATGCAGACTCGTGGGGAATAAAATTGAAAAAAACTTTTGGCAATATATTATATATATACCAAATATATTATCTAACAAATATATTATACATTATTAATATATTATATACCAAATTTAAACTGCAATTAATAAAGTTAATAGCCGCAATATTTGACCAAAATGATTCTGTACATTAATTAGATTGATTTTTTTAATTTGAATTTCAAACGATTTCCGCCACTTTTCAAAAAGGTTTAAAAAAAGTTACTAATAGGAGTAAAAACGAAATTTTTTGGCGGGATTTTAATTGCTATTACAGGTAAAAGTCAAACTTTTTTATATTTATACAAATTGCAAATAGGTGATGTGAACAAGACCAAATTTTTCCAAGACGTTGATAAATTTCTATATTTTGGTCTTTATTTACTATTTTTCATAGAATTTTTTAATGCTTAAACTTTGGTTTCGAAACATGATTTTTGGGATGACAGTATGTTATTCGCATTTCCAATAGGTGATGTGTGCGAGACCAAGTTTTTTCAGGGATGTTGATAAATATTTCTATTTTGGTCTTTATTTACTATTTTCATAAAATTTTTTAATGCTTAACTTTTGTTTCGAAACTTGATTTTTGTGATGAATGTTTGTTATTCGCATTGCAAATAGGTGATGTGTGCGAGATCAAGTTTTTTCAGGGGCGTTGATAAATTTTTCTATTTTGGTCTTTATATAATATTTTTCATAGAATTTTTTAATGCTTAAACTTTATTTTCGAAACATGATTTTTGGGATGAAAGTATGTTTTTTGCATTGTAAATAGGTGATGTGAGCGAGACCATGTTATTTCGGGGACGTTGATAAATTTTTAAACTTTGGTCGTTATTTACTATTTTCCATAGAATTTTTTAATGCGTAAACTTTTGTTTCGAAACTTGATTTTTGTGATGAAAGTATGTTATTCATTGCAAATAGGTGATGTGTGCGAGACCATGTTATTTCGGGGATGTTGATAAATTTTTCTATTTTGATCTTTATTTACTATTTTCCATAGAACTTTTTTAATGCGTAAACTTTTGTTTCGAAAATTGATTTTTGTGATGAAAGTATGTTATTCGTATTTCCAATAGGTGATGTGTGCGAGACCAAGTTTTTTCGGGGATGTTAGATAAATTCTTCATTTTGGTCTTTATTTACTATTTTCCTTAGAATATTTTATTGCTTAAACTTTTGTTTCGAAACTTGATTTTTGTGATGAAAGTATGTTATTCAAATTGCAAATAGGTGATGTGTGCGAGACCAAGTGTTTTTTGGGACGTTGATAAATTTTTCTACTTTGGTCGTGTCGATACCCGAGTCCGGCACCTATGAGAACCTAATCCGAGAGATCGGGAGTTGATTAGTAGCCGGCCAAACCGAAGGAGCCGGTCACCGCGACTGCTTGAAGGTGCCGAGTTGAGTTGAAATCAAAGTGGATGGAAACGATG